TCTTGGAGCTCCTTGAGCTGCTTCTCTTTGTCAGCGAGCTCCTTCTCGAGGCGGTCCCTTTGAATCTTGGCCTTGTGCCGGTCCTGAGCAACCCTGCGGTCGGCAATCTCGGGCGTGCGTAAGGACTTCTGCCGTTCCTTGATCTCACGCACATTCTCGTTGGTGGCCTGCCTGACAGGATCATCGGGATCGTTGCCAGGAAGGTTATTGAGGATGCTTTCATGCGTCGACAGCTGCACCGCCAGCTTCTCACGCTTGGTTTTGTCATCGTCGTCATCAGCGATCGGTTCCTTGTTGGCTGTCGCTGCCGGTGGTGGAGCACTCCACGGCGGCGGCTTGGCAGGATGCGGGCTGTTACCGACGGTGAGTGTCCGCAGCATCTTCTCCAGCTCAGCCAACTTCTTGGATGTCGTATCACTTTTGTCATTCGTATCCTTCTTGTTGCCCTTCTGCGGGGAAATCTCGCCGTTGACGATCGCATAGTGATGTTCCCAGGCGAGCTTCCTGATCCGCATCGGAGCTTCATTCCCGCATTGGCAGCGGATCCGTGATGCCCAGTTCGCCGAGGCAGCACATCGTCCGCAACCCCATGTCGGCCGCCTCGGCCCACGGAGCACCGCAGGAGGAGGCGGGGACGGCGCCATGGCGGCGGCGCCTAGGTCGTTGGTTACTCCTCTGCCTCCAGTCGGAGGCGATATCGTGAACAAGCCAGAAGGCTCGCTGCAGCGTCGCCGTTCTGAATCCAGCTGCAGCAAGCGCAAACCTGCGCCAGAACGGCTGAGCTTGAGCCATAATGGCTTGAGCCAAAATGGCTACGGACTCGGCGGGGCAGGAGGGCGGAGGCGGAGCAGCGGAGTGCCCCCCCCCGCCCCGCTGCGCCTCGGAGCCTGGAGCGTCGAAGGGCCCCCGCGGTCTTTGATGCGCTTGTTTTCCGCCACCACCGCCATACGTTGGATTGGGGAGGGAGGGGGTCCTCCCCCTCTTCCTCCTTCTCCTCATCCTCCTTCCTCCTCCTCCTCCTGCTCCTCCTCCTCTTCGTCCTCCTCCTCCTCCTCCTCGTCCTCCACCTCCTTCCCCCTCCAACTTCTGGTGGTGGTGGTGGTGGAAAACAGGCCCATCGGATCTTTGGAAGTATTCCCGGATTGGACCTTGCCAGAGGGTCCCAAGATCGGCGGCGAGCCCGGGGGGGAAGAGAGAAGGTGCGGACCTCAGGGTTCACTTCGATTCCTCCTCCAGTTCGATTCGGTTCCGATGGCCTCCGATTCCGATTCGATTCCACTTCGGGTTCCGGCGTGCATCCCGATTCCTCAACGGAGGCGCATTGGCCTGCCGACCTCTGCCGATTCGACCTCTCCCGTCCTGGCTGCCGAGCTCCGACTTCGATCGCCGCTTCCGCCCCGCCGATGCGGCTCTGGGCCCTCCCGCCTCCGCGGGAGGCTCCGAGAAATCCCCCCTTCGGCCCTCCGAGGAGTCTCCTCCGCCGCCGTCCCCGGGCGGCGCCGGGGGCCTCCCCAGCAGAAGGCCCGAGGCCCTCCCTGAGGAGCCCCGCCGCCCTCCGAGAGAGAAGGCCCTTCTCCCTCTCGCCCCGCCCCGCCCCCGCCCGCTGCCGACCTGAGGGCGCCACGGAAGAGTCCCCCTCCAGGCCTCCTAGACTCAGGAGGGGAAAAAACACACAGACACAATTAATCGTCGATTCCCAGGAAAATATGGGAAAATATGGAAGTGGGGGGGAAGACACAAATTCAAAAAATATTGGAAAATATGGGGAATCATTTTATTTGTGTGTATTTATTTTTGTGTCCTGGGGCCTCTTCATAGACGGGGTCCGAGTAGGTGGGGTCGGAGGATCGCGCCGCTTCGCCGATGCATCGACGATGCGGCTCGATGCGGAGCCCGAGTTTCTCCACGCCGATGCGTCGCCGATGCATCGCCGATGCGTCGCCGATGCGGCGCGAGCGCAGCCGAGACGCTGAAATGAGGCACAGCTTGGATTCGGAAGGAGCTCGATGTTCCTTGCGTCCTCCCCCGGTCGTTCCTCCAGCCCTCTCTCGTGCACCCAGGCTGTCTTGAAGTCGCAGAGGGGCTTCGTTCCTTGTCCAGCGTTCCTTACTCCAGAAGCCCGACTGTACCACTACAGAGTCCCACGGGGGGTAACGGGGGCCCTGGACCGCCCGGTCCGCCTGCCTCTCCGCTGGGGATTGCCCGACATTTTCTTCTGGACTCGTGCTCGCGCCCGACTGCCGGCTACGTGCGTGCTCCGGACGGATTGCTTGACCTCCACGGGATATCCGATTTGTTGTTTGTTGTCATGTTTGTTTGTGGTTGCGTCCTTTCTTTCATCCGTCGCGCAACCCTCTGCGAAGGTGGGGGGTCCAACATGTGTTGTGTTTGCGAACTCGTATGTATTTTCGCTTGGGGGCACCAGTGCACATGCGCAGATAACGCTCGCCTGTCAGAGTTATATCCGTAAGGGCTTCGCCCCCTGCCGCCTGCCCCCTCTCTCGGAACATCGCATATTTTGGCCTCTTGGAGCCCTCCTGGGGGTGCTCTTGGAGCGCTCTTGGGGGTCTCTTGGGAGCCTCTTGGGCCGTATTGGGACCATATTAGGCGCCTTGGAGCAGTCTTGGGCCGTCTCGGAGGCCTCTTGTACCGTCTTCGGGGCCTTGACCCGAAGAATAGTGGCCTCGAAGGCGCGAACATTGTGTACTTTACGAGAGTGTCTGATTTCGGGGAAGCGAGGAACGTGTAATTTACGACGGGTGGTTTTGGGGGCGCAGATATTGCGTAATCCACGAAAGAGTCATGCCTCGGAGACGCGAATATTGCAACGTGTACAAGGAATTATGGTCTCGGGAGCGCGAACACAGCATAAGTTGCGAGGGCCTATGACCTCGGAAACGTCGGATTATGGCCTCGGGGATGCGAAACTCGCGTCAGTAATTAGGGTGTATTATGGCTTCGGAGGCGCGAGTCTCATGCATTTCCATATGTCCCAGGACCCCCCCAAAAAAAATCGGAGAACCTCCCCCAGGTGAAGGTAACCGGGGCTTTTTGTTCGGCTCCTTCCCCCCCTCGGGCGGACCTCAAACAGTCATAGTAGGGAGCAGAACGCAGAACTGTGACATCGGAGACGTGGAAACTGGAACTGCGGCAGGGAGCAGCAAGCCGAATTCCCGGAGCCTGATGGCTCCGCAAGGGGTCCAGCGGATATTGTAGAGCCTCATAGTGAGTTGGATGTAGAGCCATATAGTATGATATTGCGGGCACCACGCGACTCTGGTCAAGCGTATTCACCACAATGCATACTGACCATCCCAGCATTGCCACGTGAGATCCCGGCCACCAGCACTGTCATCAGGACCGCATCGTCGTCCCCACAATCATGTGAGCATCACCCCCGTGGCCAGCAGCACCAGCCCGCGAGGTCCCGAGCTCGCTGGCGCGAGGGCTTGATGCACTGGACAGCCATCGTACAGTCGAATCTGATTAGCAGGTCGATCCTTCCAATCCTAGGGTACCCTTGTATTAAGCGTTTTGCGCCCTTTGCCGTCTGTATCCCTGTGGTAAGGTGGCCCTCGGAAGGGTCATGTGTCCGCTCGCGTGCCCCCTCCAATCAAGATCGACTATACGCAAGCCCATGGCAACCGTCGCATCATCCCCATCGCAATTTCCACCGTTCGAAGTTATCACCATCTTCATCCTCACCTTCACCCATCGTCATCATCCCCATTTGTCTGCGCCGCGCGCCGCGCCCGTTCTGAGGTTCTGTGATTTGCTGGGGATCGCCTCTGCTGCTCCGTGGTCCATGGCTCGAGCTGAACTGTGTTGTTTGGCAATCTCGTGGTCCGTGTTCGTGCTGACGTCGCTTCGTGGCAAAGGTGGTGCCACGAAGACAGAACGAGGGATAACGAAAACAAAGCGATCACGGAACACTTTGTGCAGGTGATATTTCTTTCCATGTCCAGTGCGTCTTGGTCTTTCTTGGAAGGGTCGCCGCAAGGCCGAGGCGCACTTGATATGGATACACATCGAGCCTCTTGGGGCCAATTTTGAATCCATATCCAGCGCGCCTCATGTTCCTGGGGAAGAGAGCCTGAAACTCCAAGACGCCGCCCCGGGACCTCGCGGAGGAGCCTCTGGCGGTCCGTCGGGGGCTCCCAAACGGGGTGGTGACCACACCGTGTGGTGAGTCGGTGGGGATTCGGGGTCACCACACGGTTTTGGGACTTGGGTCGTCCTCCGAGGACGTCTCGGGTCCCAAAACCGTGCGGTGACGGACCGTGCGGTGAGGTCTTTGCGGATTTCGAGGTCCCCGCCGGGTCTGTCACCACACGGTTTTGGGACGCCCAGGTCCGCTCCGACCTCCCGCGGGGGGCCCCTCCGAAGCGCACCGCCCCCGGAGCCCTTCTTTGGGGGCCCTCCCGTGCTGTATCCTCGAGCCTCGCTCCCATGAGCCTCGATCGCTCCTCGATTTTTCGAGCTCGGCCCTCGGACCCGGAGCCTCGCTCTCGGGTCTCAGTGCTGGCCCCGGGAACGGGCCGGCTGTGCGGGAGCCTCGATCCTGGATCCCCGAAGGGCGATCCTCGGTCTCGAGCCCCGAATCTCGGTCGTCGGCCCAAGGGGGGCCGAGCATGGCCGAGAGCCTCGTCCCCGGAATCGATACTCGGAACCTCGAGGCTCGGTGATGATTTCGGGGAAGTGGTGACGGTAATCTGCACAGCCCCCGATTGTTCGTTTGCCAGCTTGCCCTTCCTTGTCCCTGCGCTGTCTGGGGCCCTGGTTGTCCCCCTCGCTCATCGTCCCTCCGCCGTGGTGTCTTCCCTGGTCCTCGCTTCCTTCGCGTTCGGGCCCTCGTTCGACCTATCCCCCCCCAATTGTTCGGGTATAAAACGGAGCTGAGGGTTGTCGTCAGCCCACGGGCCAGAGTTGTAGACCTCGATGCTCGGGCTCCTCACCGCCGTCGTCGCCGTCGTCCTCTTCGGCAGCGCCGATGCTCACAGGCGGCCGACGAGACGCGCGTGGATGCCCAGGGCAACATCATCACGAAGGCGGGGGGCGGGGCGGCGTCTGGCCGCAGGCCGCAGTGTCCCGCGTTGGCGCGGAGGTGGCGCGGTTTCGGGCCTCGGGTCCTCCCAGGTCGGTATTTCCGCTCGTGGTCGTTCTTTGGCTCTCGCTCCGCCTCAAATGTTGGCGGTAGACATGCGTGCCGTTTGCTGCAGTGTACAGGCCGAGGAGCATCTCATCGAAAGGACGTGTTGCGCCATCGGCTGTGCACTTGGGAAGGTCTTACCTGCGAAGTGAGGTCGCCAACGCTCGCCCCAACTCTTGCATTCAGTCCAGAGATGGTCTCGTTTCCAAGCATATCCGCCATCGTGCTCCCCTGCACGCTGAGGCGTGCAAGAATCGGGGGCCCCCAAACGGGGCGGTGACCACACCGTGCGGTGAGCCGGTGGGGATTCGGGGTCACCGCACGGTGGTCGTTCTCCGAGGACGTCTCGGGCGACGGGGGCCTCTGGGGTCCCAAGACCGTGCGGTGACGGACCGTGCGGTGAGGTCTCGTGGGGTTCCGAGGTCACCGCACGGTCTGTCGCCGCACCGTTTCGGGACTGCAAAACTCAGAGCGTGAATTACCTACCCCGCTTTCGCTTCCAGGAATAGCCAAGTCATAGCACGCGCCTCCTCGTCGAGCGGCCTGACCGGTACAGGCCGTAGTTTGGCATCGCTTGGTACCTCCTGGAAGCGAGGGTGGTCAAAAGCGAGGTAGGTTTGTTTGCCCCCTATGAGCGCGAGGAGGTGCGAGGTTTCATCCCCCGCTCATCCCACCCCGTTGGGACAGCCGGGCCCCCGCGTGGGCCAGACGCCACTGCGCCTAGCCTGCGGATACACGCGGCCGCCCTGCGAGCAGCGCGGCGGGAGGGATCGCAGTGGAGGCGGAGGAGGAGGAGGAGGAGGAGGTGGAGGAGATGGAGGAAGGGGGAGGAAGGGGAGGAGGAGGTGGAGGAGGAGGAGGAGGAGGAGGAGGAGGGCTTCTGTGAGTGCCGAGTGCTGCCCGGTAGGGCTTCTGTGAGTGCCGAGAGGGGCCCCCGGCCCTCCCAGGAGGCACCCGGCTCCGTGCCTCGCCGCCCCTGCCCGAGGCCCCGGGCCCGTGCAGCACACAGCAGAGTCGCTGCCCACTATCTCGATGTCGCTGCAAGACGGGCCACTTGAGTGTCATGACGAGACGGAGGAGGAGGAGGAGGAGGAGGAGGAGGAGGAGGGGGAGGAGGAGGAGGAGGAGGGGGGGGAGGAGGAGGAGGAGGAGGAGGAGGAGGAGGAGGGTCGGGAACACGACGAGAGAGGAGGAGGAGGAGGAGGAGGAGGAGGAGGAGGAGGAGGATCGCAGCAGGAGGACCAACGCCCACGTGGAGCAAAAACATGGAGGTTGATCCTCCCCCACGAGCGAGTGGCCTAATAGATGCTGTGCTCCATCTGTGCGTTTTGGCGGTGGCACCGCACACGATTGGTTTCGGGAGATTGGGCTACGGTAGGTTTGCGTCGTGTCGACCAGCGGCGACCCCAGCGCGGGCGTTCAACCTTGAACGCCGCCAGCGACCCAGAATCGATCGATGTTGAACGATCGGACGTTGCGGCAGCGGCCGATCGTTCAAGGTTGAACGATCCCTGCGGTGTCAAAAACCAACGCTGGGGTCGGCACGACACGAACCTGCCGTAGAACTACGTGGAACGGCTCAGATGTTTAGACCAAGGAGTTGCACAGGATTGTATGGTCCTCTTGAAAAAAGAATGCTCGTTCATGGCTTGCTATTGTAAGCTGATCTATATTTTACCAACGGCTTGTACTATGGTTTCTCCTCAGCCTTACCCCGATCCATTCGTGATGTTCCGGCGCCGCCACAGTTCGTCCGGTCACAAAGCGCAGCGTCAGATCGGGAATGTTCATGTGCATACACCTTTCATCGTCGCGCTTGCAGGGTGGAAAGTACGTCATCTCTTTCCGAGATCTTGAGACCGAGAAGCCAGTGCAGGACGTCAAGGAGGCAGTCGTGCTCTGCTTGTGCTCTGCTTGTGCACTTGTGCTTTGGTGGTTGGGGGGTGAGACCGAAGTGACGCGGGGGCCTCCTCCTCTTCCTGGGCGACGAATTCTATACATTTCCACTGCTCACTGGCCAGGCCCATCCTGAACCCAGGAGCCGTGTGTACGTGTGTACGCCCCTGCTGGGTTCAGCACGAGCCTGGCCAGGAGGCAGTGGATGTGTTCAGATGTCATCGAACGCGCCAGCGTAGGGGGGTAATTTGCAGAAGAGGGTGAGGATATCTGAAGACGGAGCTGTATGAGGAAAGGGGGAGGGAGGTGAGGAGGAGACGTGGTGTTGGTAGGAATGAGATGGGTGGATGTTTTCGAGCAGTGGGGGGAGGAGGAGGAGGAGGAGGAGGAGGAGGAGGAGGAGGAGGAGGAGGAGGAGGAGGAGGAGGGGAGTGCGCGGAGTCAGGCTGAGACGGAGTTGGAGGAGAAGGAGGAGGACGACGAAGTGAAGGAGGACCTGGACGAGCAGCAGCAGGCGAGGTCGGACGAGGAGGAGCACGCCATGGGAGGAGTTAGGGGCCTCCGGGGCGGGAAAACAGAGCGGGAAGGACATAGGGAGGGTGACAGAACGGGAGGCGCTGTTGCGTGAAGGAAGAGGGGGAAGCGTAGCATTAGATAGGGCCTGTCCTTCTACAGGGGGAATATTAAAAGATAGTTACAAATAGTATCAATACATAGTTTGGGGACTATTCTTTAGTATTTTTTAGGTTTCCCCCCAAATCCCCCTGTAGGGGGACACGCCCGACCCAAGCATAGCATGACCACCGGGAGGATGCGGAGGACAGGGGCCCACGAGCCCTGGAGGCGTCCTCCTCCCTCCCCCCTGGCCCGGCCTCGGTGCCTCGGCTCGGCCCCCGCTCGCGCCGCGTGCCCTCCTCCCCCCTCCTCTGGGGCCCCGGAGGCCTCCTCGCCTCCTCCCCTTGTCGGGGGCGGAAAAGAGGGGGGTGCTGACTAGGGGGGGGTGGATCTCATGGCGGGGGCCTTGATAATTCCACAGCTTTTAAGGCGCCTCTTCTTATTTTATTACGTCCCTGGCCCCCCCGCTGGGCCGCGCACGTGCCGCCGGTCATGATTTGCACCCCCCCCTCCTGGACACCCCCCTCTTGGCCGCTCCCGGCCTTGGGGCCGGGCCCAAGTTCCCTGGCCCGTCGGCCCGGTGCGCGCTGTGCGTTCGCTTGCTCGCCTCGCGTGCTCGGTTCGCTCGGCGTGCTCGTCGCTGCGTGCACGGCACATGTCCGGGCACGCACTCGTGGTGCCCGCGCGCGGCGACGCGGGCGCCGTGGGTTTACGCGGACAGACCGCGTGTGGCCCGCAGTGTCAGGACAGGGGTGCACGAGTTGCGTGCTGCTGACTGTCGACGGTAACGCGAGAGGACAGCGTCAGCCCCCCTGCGCAGCCGTGCATATTGTGGAGGTCTTGCGGCCGGTGCCGCCGACCCTGAAGGGAGACGACGACGACGACGACGACGACGACGACGACGACGACGACGACGACGACGACGACGACGGCGGCGGCGGCGGCGGCGGCGGCGGCAGCAACGACGACGACGCTGACGTGGGCCAGAGTCCTCAGGGATGGTTCGTGGGGTCTCTTCGGAAGTCTCTCGGGGGCCTCAGGGGAGAAGTTTTAGGGCCCCTTGGGGGCCTCTTGGGAGCCTCTTTGGAGCCTCTCCAGGCTTCCTGGGGACCTTGTGGGCCTCTTGGGGCCTCTTGGGAACCTCTTGGGGCCTCCTGGGAGTCTCTTCGGGCCGAGGGCTCGAAATCGTCATTCGGGTCCCCCGTCTGGGCACGCTCTTGGAGCTGTCTTGGGGGTCTCTTGGAGGCGTTTTGGGCCGTCTTGGTGTCTTCCTGGCTCTTGGGCTGTTTTGTGGCCCTCTTGGAGACCTCTTTGGCCGTATTGGGGCGATCTTGGGGGCCATTTGTGTCGATTTGGAACGACGGGAAGTGGGACGGGCCAGAACCCCCAACTCTTCAAAACAAAGCATCGAAACTCAATGGATTCGGCCTCTTGGGGACCTCTCAGGAGTGCTCTTGGAGGCGTCTTGGGGCGTCCTGGAGGCCGTCTCGGCGGCCACTTGGGGAAATCTTGGCCTGCCTTGGTGCTTTACCCCGGGGCCCCCAGAGGGGGGATGGGTATCTGACCCCCCCCGGGACTCCCCCCCCCCGACGGTGGAGGGATCAAAGGGAAGGGGCTTCCCTTCGACTCTGTCACGACATTGCTAGATTTTCTCTCGCTGACAAGTTTGAGGATGAGTGTGCAGGGAAAGGGGACGACGGAGACGACGACTGACGGAGACGACGACTCGAACAGACAGGCCCCTTCACACACGCCGAAGGGTCGGCGGATTTCTGTAATGTCGCTTGCCTTTCGGTTCGAAGCCGCCGTCGTCAGCGAGCCCGTGCCCCACTCAAACGAGCACGTGGCTTGCTTCTTGCGCTGCCGATGTCGTGCATATGTGCACGTGAAAGCTCGAGCAGCGTTTGGTGGCCCCGGCCGACGGTCACAAGCGACATGTGACTAGCCACGAACAAAAAGTCAGGGGGAAAGTCTGATGGACGGGCATCCTGCTGACTCCTCACTGCTCCCTCCTGTCGTTCCACATCTTTCTTCATTGTGCAATGCTGTATAACAGTGTATTGTTTGATTTTGCCCCACCCTGCAGCGCCCTCGTGATGTACCACGCATATCGCGGTCGCAGCAACGTCTTTTCAAAATCCCTCTTTGTCCTCCCCTTCTACTCTCAATCCTTCAGGTTGCGCGGAGCAGGTTGTTTGCGTTCGTTCGTGTCGTCTCCTGCGGTCAGCTGTCTGCTAGCGACTTGCAGTAAGCCATGGCACAGGGTTGCCGTGTTCTCACGCGGTATGCATGAGACCGAGACCCATTCCTGTTCGTCTGTTGTTGGAGTCAGACATGCGTGCGCGCTGGCAGGTCACCGCCTACAAAAATACTCAGCAAAATGACTACGATGGACGGGGCGTGGGGGGGTGCATTGAGGGGAGGACGTGCGGGCTGCAGCCAAGGTCTCTTCAATGAGGCCAGGCGGTGGGAGGATCGAATGATGATGGGGACGAAAGGCAGGATGCGGAGCAGGAGGAGGAACGGCGGGGAAGCTGATGAGGAGCATTAGCAGGAGTAGAAAGTAGGAGGAAACGGACATAATAGGAGGAAAAGGATGGGGAGGAGGAGGGTCAGCAGAGGAGGGAAGCAGAAGGAAAGTGAGGAGGAAGGCAAGGACCGGAGGGGGAGGAGGATCAGGATGATGAGAGAAAGCAGGACGAAGAGGAGAGGGACGAGGGATTGAAGGTGGAAGAGGGGGAGGCGGACGAAAGAACGGTGCAGAAAGATGAGCTGCAGGAGGAGGCGACAGAGGAGGAGGAGGAGGAGGAGGAGGAGGAGGAGGAGGAGGAGGAGGAGGAGGAGGAGGAGGAGGAGGAGGAGGAGGAGGAGGAGGAGGAGGAGGAGGAGGAGGAGTAGAAGGAGGAGGCGGAGGAGGAGGAGGAGGAGAGGAGGAGGAGGAGGAGGAGGAGCAGGGCGCTGATCTTGAGGGGCTCGCGTGTGCGCGTGCTTTGGCGTTGACACCCCGCTCTGCGTCGGTCTGGGGGCTTCTCGGCCCGTCTCGGGCTTGCGGTAGACCGAACGGGCGAGAGCTTGACTTTCCTTCGAACGCGTGGATCATCAGCGCGATGGTTTTGAGGCCTGCTTGGGGGCCCTCTTGGCAGCCCTCTGCGGGCGCCCTCGGTGCCGTTGACCTGGCTCTTCGCCGTCTGCAGAGCCTCGCTTTTGACTTCCCCCCCCCGCCCTCACCAGGAGGTCGGCCGCTGGTCTTCGTTTCGGCCTGCCGGCCGGCATCCCGCCTGACTAGCGTGTCGTCTGACCTGTTGCTTGGCGACTGCCTGTGGCGGCCTGCCGGCAGGCTGCTGGCCAGCTTCTGTGCCCTGCTGGTCAAAAAGGTTCGGGCATCGGGAGCGTGCGCCCACTGTGGCTCACGAGGGTTGGAGGCTGCGGGGGGGGGGGCCATCGTTGGCTAGTCACGAGGATGCGTGGCTCGTCGCGCCCCAGCCCGCACCCTCGGGAAACAACACCAGGGAAGGGGGGTCGGTGGCGGCAAAGAGGGGGGTGATGACTAGGGGGGGGCGAATATCATGGCGGGGGCCATGATATTTCCCCAGATTTTATGGCGCCCCTTCTTATTTCATTACGTCCCTGGCCCCCCCGCTGGGCCGCGCACATGCCGCCGGTCATGATTTGCATGCCCCCCCTCTTGGAGACCCCCCTCTGGGCCGCTCCCGAGGGGGGCACCACGCCCCCAGAGCCCATTTCCTGGATCGGAAGGGACCAGTCGTTCTGCTCTGGAGGGCTGTCGGATGTTGCTGGAAGTAGCCCTGGCTCAAGGTACCCCCAGGATTCTCGGGGTGGCCCAGGCGGCCTCCAGGGCACCCCTCACGAGGTCCAGAGGACCCCAGGGGCTCCAAGAGGGGGCGAAATAAGCTGGGGGCACCTTGGGCCAGGGACACTTCTAGGAACACCCGAAAAAAAAAAAAAAAAAAAAAAAAACTTCTAGGAACACCCGAAGCTGGTGGCGCCTTGGGGGCCAGCCTCCCCGGGGCGGGGCCGTGGCCTGTAGGCAGCGCCAGCTCGTGGCACGTTGTGCTGGCGCTGCTCGTGGCTCCGAAGACGCAGCCCCGTCGCGCCATTGTGCGGAGGACTTGTGGCCTCGGGAGCGGGGCCCAGATCCATTCCCGGAGCCGTTTTTGTTGCCGTTTTTGCTCGCCTTTTTTATTGTCGTTCCCATTTTCAAGCGACGCTTGTTCGGAAGCGGTGAAAACCCGGTCCTGCCGCTTCCGGGGTCCATTGAGGTCGTCGATGGCCTCGCGAGTGCGGCCGCGTGCTCAGTTCCCCACAGCCTAGGTGGTGTTTCTTGTTTTCTTTGGACACACCCTCGCACGAGCAGGAGCAGGGACACCTCCACATCATACTAATCATACTAATCATACTAATCATCATCATCATCCTCCTCATCATCATCATCATTACCATCACCATCACCATCACCATCATCACCATCCTCAACATCATCATCATAATCATCATCATCATCATCTTTCTCCCCATCATCACCATCGCTATCACCATCACCATCATCATTATCATCACCATCGCCATCACCATCACCATCATCCTCAACATCAGCATCATAATCATCACCATCAGTATCCCCATCATCACCATCGCCATCACCATCACCATCATCATTATAACCGTTACCATCATCACCGTCATCACCATCATCACCATCACCATCATCATCACAATCCTCGTCGTCGTCATCATCATCATCGTCATCGTCATCGTCATCATCATCATCATTGCCATGATCATTAGCATCATCATCACCATCATCACTGTCATAATCATCATCACCACCACCATCATCATCACCATCGCCACCACTATCATCATCACCACCATCATCAACATCATCACCACCACAATTACCATTACCAACATCATTGCCATACGCATCATCACCATCACACCCATCACCACCATCCTCTGTATGACCAGCATCACCGTTCGGTACCCATTTTCTTCATCACAATCACCATCACAATCCTCACCACATCAAGCATCTTCCAACACCCATCACCACCCGTCATCATCACCATCGCCACCCACCATCATCACCAATATCGAGAATCGGGGGGCCCTCGAAGGGGAGCCTCGTCCCTGAGCGAATCGCGAGGCCTCGAGCGGGAGCCCCCTCGATCCGGGCGGGTCCTCGGCGTATTGCAGCAGGCAAGGCACCTGAGCGCCCCGAAAGGGGGCACATCGCGAGGAGTGTTTCGGGCGGGGGCCTCGCCGGAGAGTGAACACGGGGAAGTCTTGAGCGAGGCGGAGGAGGAGGAGGAGGAGGAGGAGGAGGAGGAGGAGGAGGAAGAGGAGGAGGGCTCCTTATAGTGCCCCCTCCCATGGTTTACTTCCCAGCGGGCCATCGGCGCCGTGTAGCAGGCACAGCACCTGAGCACCCCCACGCGGGCAAATCGTGAGGATGTCTCGAGCGGGGGCCTCATGGGTGGTTGAATCGCAGGAGACTCTCGGGCGGAAGCCATGTTTCAATCCGAGCGGGTCATTGGGCTTTTTGTAGCAGGCTAAGAAGTCGAGCACCCCAAGGGGTCAAATCGTGAGCATGTCTCGCGGGGGAAAAAACCCGAGAGGGAAAACCCTCCTTGTGAGGCGCCAATTTCATTTTTCATGTGTTTATCATATCAGAGCGTGTCACCGGCGCACTGTCGCAAGCATCGTACTTGAATGCTCCAAGGGGGGAGGTCGTGAGGATGTTTCGAGTGGGAGCCTCGCGTGTGAGGGAAAAGCTAGGAATTCTCGAGCGAGAACCCCATCCCTATGGGCTCCCCACCTCGCGTTTTGAATCCGAGCGGTTCTTCGTCGTAGTGTAGCAGGCATTCAGTTGAGCGCTCCGACATGACGAACCATACAAATGTTTCAAGTAAAAACCTAGTAGGTAAGTGCGTAGCGAGGAAGTCTCGAGCTGGAGCCCCGTCCCCATGGGGCCTGCAGATCACGTTGCCAGTCCGAGCGGGCCATCAGAACTAGAGACCTCGTTCCAAGTTTATAGGGAGAGCGGGGACACACTCGTCTCGCGCATCATGTCGTCGGTGGGACTGATCGTGCACATCCCAATGTGGATGCCGCGAGCAGGGTTTTCCCTGTTCTCTCTTCGTTTCCTCCGTCCCTTTTCTCTTGTCCGTTGCGCTGGAGAGAGAATGGAATAATATTCATTCTCGTGCTTCGGGGGAGGGAACTTCAAAAAAGTTCGTTCAGTGTTTGAGCAAGGTTCACTCTGCAGTTGCGGAAAAATGGAATTTGAAAAAGTTGGATTTTCTCGTAAACTTTTGGGCTGGATGGGGGAACTTGGAAAAAAAGGCTCACTGCGCATCAGCGGGAAAAGGGAATCTGGAAAGGTTCATTTCCCCACCAGTTCTTGGACTAGAATAGGATTTGAAAGAGGGTCACTCGCTCTCCGCGGGGAAGGGATTCCTAAATTGTTCATCTTCCAGTTTTTCATTGGAATTGGAAATGGATTTTGGCAAGGTTCACACTTTGGCCGCGGAGCAAGGGATTTGAAATGATTTTTCCCGCGTGACATTTATTCTTATAGGCTTACGCCACATCCGCCGACCCCCTGCTTTTGTGTAGTCTTTATCGCCAACTGTGGCGGACGCCTTAGCGGCGGTGGTAGGTGGTTTCAGGAATAGGGTGTCTTGGAGTAGTCGTGGTTTCGGGGTCGTGTCCGAGAGCCACGACACCTTATAAATCTTGTAGCCCCTGCAGGTGCGGATTTGGGTGAGCGACTGCTTCGGGAAGGACTTCCCGTTGCAGGGGCGCATCAGTGGCGCGCTGGAGACGGAACACCTGACGACGGGAACGAAAGTAGTGTGAACAGATTGCAAGAAACTTGGTTTTCATGGCGTGCAGTTGGCAGGCGTATCAGTGCAGCGGCACGTGCAAGAAAAAATGCCGAAGTCGGCGTTGTCCGCGAGGCTTGACCACGTCGCCCGCGATGAAACGAAGGGCGCCCTGAAGTGCAACACGTGCAAATGATGCGCATTGAACGTCCGTTCCGCGCTTCGTGGAGGTAGGGCCAGAAAAGGGGGCGAGAGTGAGAGCGACGCTGATTACGAGGAGGAAGCTGAGAAGAACGAAGCGCAGAAGGAAGAGGAGGAATATGAGGATGCGGGGTAGGCGCGGTAGAGCGAGGCACAGGGCAGAACTGTGGGGATCCAGGCTTGGGGGGGCACTGCCAGAGTCCTGACTGCAATTTCTTGGGGTTATTGTATTTGCCGCGGCTGACGTTGGCAGCGTCCGCCGTGGACGCATGATTATCGAGTGGTCGTCGGTCCATCCAGCCACCGTGCCTGGCTTGTGGGTCTGCAGCCACTGGGGGGGCGGGCTTGG